AACAAAAAATTCTAAATTGCGTGTTTTGGATTTAGTTAAATTAATTTATGCGTGAAAAGGTTTGTTGTTTGTTTTCCGGCAAGCAGGCAAAAAAAAAAAACATTGAAAATTTTGAAAACAAAAAGAGATTTTCCACAGCAGCAACAACATATGGTCTATGTTTATGTCTACGTCATTCGGACCTGTGGCGTGTGTGTATCATTTTTTATTGTCTGTCTGTCCGTAAATTTCATTTCTTATTGTATACTGAGAATTATAATAAGAAAATTTATTATAATTTATTTGCATTAAAAATAAGTTCTGTTTTTTTCTCTTTGGTTTGTGGTCTGCGATATTTTTTCTTTTTAATTCTTTTTTAATAAAAATCCACGCACATGCTAAAATGTTGCCGTTGATTTCCCTATCACAACTGGTCCGCCTCTTCCCTTTTTTGTTGCTGTTGTTTTTTTTTCTTCATTTCTTGGCATGTAGTGGCGGCACTAGGTCTTTGGCGACCTTGAGTATATATTTTTTTATATTTAATATAAAACATTAACATATTTTTCTGATCTTTATACTCAAGTGTGACAGTTGGAAAAAAAAATGTAAAAAAAATAAACAGATTCAGATGATAATCGAATTTGTTGAAAAAGTTCATAAATCAATGGAAATTTTGCACAGGAAAATTAGATTGACCCTTGAGTGAGGCCATGAACTGCAAAAAATTTGTTGGGGTGATGTTAAATATATAGCAAAAATAACAGATTTCTAAAATACAAAATCTTTTTTTTTTCGTGTTCCTGAACGAACTCCAATCGGATTTTCCGATATTCGAAAAATTACATATGTCTTATGTGGGAGAAAATATTAATAAATATACCATTAGAGAACCCTATCGCCAAGTAGCCGGACCAAAAGCTCCCTAATTCATATAACGGTCTTAAACGTTCTGCCATTCTTAGGCCTCTATCGTAAAGATTTAAAGGCAGGCCTATGGCTTCAAATATTTAAATAATACCATTAGTATCAGACATTTTTCATATGATATAGCCTTAAACGTTCAGCCATTCTGAGGCCTCTATCGCAGAGTAGCAAGATTTAAAGGCAGGCCTCCAGTGGCTGATCTCAGAGGTATCTTTAAACTGTACAGTTTTTCAAGGCCCCAGAAAAGGTCTCTACTTTTGAGTGGAGTCGAAATAGTTGGACTCAAAGGCCACTACCTTCAATTGGCAGGCCTCAAAAATCTCTACTTTAAAGTAGTTAGCCTCCAAGGCCTCAGTCTTCTAATAGCTTTCCTCACAAGTCTCTACTTCTTGTGTAGATGGCGCCCAAATGCTTCTAATTTATAGGAGTTGGTATCAAAGGCTGCTCTATTTTAGTACAGTAGATATTGGATACTAGAAACTCAAAAAAAGTCGGAAATTTATTTCTTATAAGCGTTTTTTTTCTTATATGGAATTATCGGATATAAGAAAGTATAAGCTCGGTGCTTTTGATAATCTTTCTTATATGCGATTTTTTCTTATATGCGATGTGCTTATATCCGATATCTACTGTATTTGGCATCTGCCTCCTTACAGTCTTTCCTCTTGAGGAGTTGGACTCGAAGAACACTAATCTTAAATACTTTTGCGAAAGGACCTCGGTTTGCAAATTATTAGCCCCTAAGGTAAGGTGGCCCTGCAGACCTCGTGTTTTGAGTAGCTGGCCCCAGACATTTAATTTCATGTTGCTAGTCTCAAATATCTATATGAGAGCTTAACTGATCTTAACGGGCATTATTGTTGATTAGATGGATTCGAAGTTTCCTGTTTCCTGTCGATTGAATGGCTGACTTTTAAAGGTCGTCTCTATTTGCGATTAGCTGACTCAAAATACCACTATTTTCCAGTAGTCCGTCCATGAGGTCACACTTTCAAGTAGCAACCATCAAAAACCGCTACATTCAAGGAGCCGGCTTCCAAGTGCCACTGATGTTAATTCCCTGACCTGAAAGACTATTACTTTCGAGTGATAGGTCTCAAGGGTTTCTATTTTTGATTTTCAGTCTTCACTATTCTCATAAAAGACCAGGAGACCTTCTCATAGAAAATCAATAGATCTCTTCATAATAGTCAATAAAAAAACCTTTTTTATAGGCCATAAATTAAGACCTCTTTCATAGGACCTCGAGTTCTTCTCATAGAATGCCAAGGGATCTTCATCTCATAGAAATAGAAGCGGACTAGAAGAGTTCTTCTGAAAGAAGCTCGGGAGGTATTTTTCATAGACTACAAGGAGGTTTTTTCAAAGGATGACCAGAACCTCTTATGATAGAACTTCAGGAGGTCTTCTCATATAAGCCTAACTTCTCAATGTAGCTCACAAAAATGAATTTTGCATAGAAGGCCAAGGGATATACTTTTCCTATACAGGGATATACTTTTCCTATACAGGGATATACTTTTCCTATACAGGGATATACTTTTCCTATATTTTTCTAGAAGGTTAAGAGATCTTCTCATAGAACATCAATATGATTTTCCATTGAAGACCAGGAGTTCTTTCCATTGCTTAGCAAGAGGTCCTCTCAGAGAAGATCTGCTCTAACCTGGATTTTTTTCGAGACCACCTAGGCGTAGATTTTTTTAAAGAAAAATTTTTCATGGATTTTTGAAAAGAAAATATGGTTCTATTTTTAGCAAATATTTCTCAAGCCCCATTATAAAAATATTTTTTCAAGGGTTCGAAATTTTTTTAAAATTTTTTTTGAAGCCCCTGCATATGCCTAGATTAAAAAAAATTAGATTTTTTTTAATATTTTGTTTAGGTTTTCCCTATAAATTTTCATAAATTAAAATAATTTAATTTTTCCCTCTCAATATTTTCAGATATGCTAACCTCTCCTGCCACCCACTCATCCAACTACAAACGAATTTCAGGTTTTGTAATGCAGAAGCATCGGTAAGTCCATATATCGCATATCATAAAATCGAAACTAATATCCATTCAACAAAGTGTTAAATTAAGACACCCTCCACACTCAGCCACACACACACACATACATACATCTAAAATATGTTTTATGTTACAACATTTACATAAAGGCGTACAACGACCGCCTGGGATCTTGAAAAATAGTTGGTGGTAAACCGCAAACGTTTAACTAAAAACACTTGACGTGATGCTGGTGTTGGTGTGGTGGAGCTGACTCCATGGCTGGCACACAATTCAATTACAATGTTTTTGTAATTTACAATTGAGGTCAACATTGGTAGGAGCATCATTATACAGAGCAGACAGCCATGAGGGTGGTCGGTCGGTGGCATCACGGCCAATATGTGGATGATCTGTTTTTTGTTGTTTTTTTGTAGTATGGTTGAAGGTGTAAATTTTTTGTAAAGGGAAACTTAAAGAGAAGGCCTGGTTTTCTTGGGAAAATTTGTAATTTGGAAATTAATTTTTAATTTATTTTTAAAAACACTCGAATTAAGTCATTTACTTGAAGGTCGCTGTTTTGGGTGGGGCTATGCGGGTGCCTTGTTAATTTTTTGGGGGAAATTTTAAAATTGTTTTTTGTTTTTTTCAAGAGCCTATGAAGTCATCATTTTCACTCCATATTTTTCCCCCAAACTGTAATTAATTATCCATATCTCAACTAATAGAGTAGTCTCAAGGTTTTGTTTTTTTTTAAGTTTTGGAAAACATATTCAAAATTATTTCCCATGCCTGCATTTCTATGCAATTTGTTTTGGCTTGTCTTGACAGTGGTGTCAATAAACAAATAGCCTAGCCATGTTGTGGTTGCTTTGTTGTTTGTTTAAATAGTTCATTGTTTCATAATTATTGTGAACATATTTCATAAAGAGATGACAAAAGGGGCATTCAACTTGAAACATTTCCATACATTTTCCATGACGTGGATTTTAAAATAATATTTGGCGTGGATTTTTTATAAATTATTTTTTATGAGATCCTCACAAGGCGTGAATTTTTTAAAAATTATTTTTATGCGATCCTCACAAGGCGTGAATTTTTATAAATTATTTTTTATGGGATCTTCACAAGGCGTGAATTTTTTATAAATTATTTTTTTTGGGATCCTTATAAATTTTTTAAAAATTTTTTTTGGGATCTTCACAAGGCGTGGATTTTTTAAAAATTATTTTTTATGGGATCCTCACAAGGCGTGGATTTTTTAAAAATTATTTTTTATGGGATCCTTACAAGGCGTGGATTTTTTAAAAATTATTTTTTATGGGATCCTTACAAGGCGTGGATTTTTTAAAAATTATTTTTTATGGGATCCTCACAAGGCGTGAATTTTTTAACAATTATTTTTTATGGGATCCTCACAAGGCGTGAATTTTTTAAAAATTATTTTTTATGGGATCCTCACATGGGGTGAGGAGTGCACGAATAGCCAGATTTCTACGAATTTTAAAATTCTGTAGAATTTCTGGATTTCAATTAATAATAATTCTGATTCTTAAAAGTCCCATTACGGCACGTACCCGCTGACATCACCTGAGGATCACCTTCTCTTTGATGTGACAAATTTTTTAATTTATTTAAATAATAAAGAAAATCTGAATTTCAATGCCTTCATGAGGTGGTAAGAGGAGAATGGGGGAATTGACATTTTTTTAGAGGTAAATAAAATTTGTTTTAATGTCTGTTCGGCCTATGGATAGCCCTGCCTTTTTGATTATGAAGGAAAGAGGTATCCACATTGTGAATTTGGAAGGCCAAATTGAATTAGAATAAATACAATTTAGTTTTTTTTTCCTAGAAAATATAAGTTGTGTGCCTATTTTGATTTATACTGAGCCTACACCTTAGCCGACAAACCCTCTCTGACCCGAAGAAAAGTAAAAAAAATAATTTTTCACAGCCATTGCTTTGAATATATCAGTGAATGGTTGCAATGGCTGAGAGAACGACTGGGTGGATCTCTTAAATATTTGAGCTGCAATGCCTAGCCTTAGTATTCAAACAAGACCATCTATCCATATCCGACGTACAATCCTTTCGCCGGCAATATGGCCAAAATTATATATTTCCTATTAGCCATGCTGTGCTATGGGGTGGTGATGGCAATTCCATCAACATTGCCTCAGGATTGTGAGGGATGGATTAAAGTGGAGGTTAATGAATCCGAGTGGAGTGGCTGTAACAAATCAATCATCACGGTGAATGGTATACCCACCACGTCTTGTGCCGGTGAATTAATTTTCAATGAAGACTTCGATGGCGATACTTTGGATCCAAAAAAATGGACAGCTCAAAATCGCTTCCCCTCTTCTCCAACCAATGAATTTAATATATATCTTGATGATGTGAAGGATGTCCTCCAGCTTAAGAATGGCCTGGTTCGTATCAAACCGAAGCTAACGGTGGAACATTTGAAAATGATAGATACCGAAGGAGCCACATTAGATTTGGGACCACATGGTACTAGTCCACGACATAGGGGTGAATGTTCATTTACTCCAGAGGGCTTGAATAAAATACCACCCTACATTTCGGCTCACTTTACAACTAAATATAAATTTTCATTTAAATATGGCCGAATTGAGGTGCGAGCCAAAATGCCCCAAGCCATGTGGGTATATCCTCAATTGTGGTTGCACTCCACCTATTATGATCTCGGTCAAATACGTATTGCCCAGGCACGAAATGATGGATCAAATACAGATTTAATTACCGGACTAGTGTTACACGATCATCCAGATTTGCATTCGCTTTTCCTGTGTGTTAATCGGACACGGGGGAATTTATTCGATGACTTCCATATCTATGAAATGTTGTGGACCCCAGATGTGATTACCTTTTCCCTAGACAATGTGGAATATTGTCGACATGAAGTCAATAGCGAGGCGGAGGCTTTTCATAATCTGAATTCTTGGTCTAAACTATATGATCGCCATGTATTGGAATTTTGGGGCAAATGGGCACCATTCGATCAGGAAATTTATCTGTTGGTGGGTGAGGAAATTGGCGGTTTAAGAGAATTTCATGATGGCTATTGGTCGCAAGAGAAACCAAGGCAAAATACCGATGCGCGTGCAATGTTTACTTTCGGTAATGCGCTGCGTAATAACTCAAAGTGGATGGATCGTGCCGCATTTGAAATCGATTATATTAAGGTGTATGCTGTGTAAAATTAAAATAAAATTAATATGAATTTTTTAAAAATAAAAAAAATAATTTTTAAAAAATCCACGCCTTGTGTAGATGCCTAAAAATAATTTTTAAAAAATCCACGCCTTGTGTAGATGCCTAAAAATAATTTTTAAAAAAATCCACGCCTTGTGTAGATGCCTAAAAATAATTTTTAAAAAAATCCACGCCTTGTGTAGATGCCTAAAAATAATTTTTAAAAAAAATCCACGCCTTGTGTAGATGCCTAAAAATAATTTTTAAAAAAATCCACGCCTTGTGTAGATGCCTAAAAATAATTTTTAAAAAAATCCACGCCTTGTGTAGATGCCTAAAAATAATTTTTAAAAAAATCCACGCCTTGTGTAGATGCCTAAAAATAATTTTTAAAAAAATCCACGCCTTGTGTAGATGCCTAAAAATAATTTTTAAAAAATCCACGCCTTGTGTAGATGCCTAAAAATAATTTTTAAAAAAATCCACGCCTTGTGTAGATGCCTAAAAATAATTTTTAAAAAAATCCACGCCTTGTGTAGATGCCTAAAAATAATTTTTAAAAAAATCCACGCCTTGTGTAGATGCCTAAAAATAATTTTTAAAAAAATCCACGCCTTGTGTAGATGCCTAAAAATAATTTTTAAAAAAATCCACGCCTTGTGTAGATGCCTAAAAATAATTTTTAAAAAAACCCACTCCTTGTGTAGATGCCTAAAAATAATTTTTAAAAAAATCCACGCCTTGTGTAGATGCCTAAAAATAATTTTTAAAAAAATCCACGCCTTGTGTAGATGCCTAAAAATAATTTTTAAAAAAATCCACGCTTTGTGTAGATGCCTAAAAATAATTTTTAAAAAAATCCACGCCTTGTGTAGATGCCTAAAAATAATTTTTAAAAAAATCCACGCCTTGTGTAGATGCCTAAAAATTTAAATTTAAAAATCCAAAATTTTGTTTTGTTCTGCATTCCTGACCTAGGCTAATCCGGCTTCAATACTTCCTCTTCCCGACTACCAGCTGGTCCATTTTATGTAAAGTTTTGAAAAACCTATTTTTTTTGCAATAATTTCATCATTTATCATAAATTCTTTCGTAATCGTTTAAACCGCATCAGCGAACAGACGGTAGTGGCATCGTAGCTCCGAAGTAGCCCCAGTTATCATTTAACCGGAGACTTCCATTCGCTTTGGTTATGTTTTATGAGGGCAGCAGCGGCATTTAATAATATTTTAAGCTCATAAAATTTGCCGACTTCTTTTAAACGCTTGCCAGACAAAAAAATATAAAGCAGATTTTTCGGTTTTACTTTCACTCTCTTGAAATGAAGATCATCTGAAGAAGAAATAAAAAAATCGTGGATGGTAGTCTTGAAGAGGTAGCACAGCATCCATTGAAGTTGAATTCGAAGTGGTTTAAGTTCGAGGTACTCTGCTGGTTAGGCAATGCGACGCTTGGGGTATTGGCAGCACTTATGGCCATCAGACAAAAAAACATCGAGGTATTAACGAGTTTACTTTTGTTGTTGTTGTTGCTGCTGTTGTTGTTGTTGTTTGCCAAATTACCTTAATAAAGATGAAATATAATGGCATTAAAGGGATTTTGATGTGAGGCTTTTGTGGTTCGTCAGCAGACAAAAAATTGCTGCCACACAAAGAAATGGGAATTTTGCGTAAAAGGGAATTTATGACCAAATTAATTTTTTTGAAGATGTCTTGGAAGTAATTTTGTTGTTTTTTTTTTTGAAGTGTGTATTGTATAATAATCGTTCAAATGAAAATTAATAATTAATTTAGTGCAAATTTTTATTTTAATTTTTAATTGCCAGCCACAGAGCAGAAAAAGAAACCCTCAATGCCAAAGGCTTAATCATCAGGAAATAAAGAAAGACACAGTCACATAACATGTGTGTCGTTACTTCAAGCCACAACTGCAATAATTTTAGTTGTGATCCAACTCCAGCCCCTACACCCCAACCCCTCCTCTTGCTATTCCCACATAGAGAAAAGATTTATGAGCTGATTTGCAAGTAGTATTTTTTTTAATTTTATTTGTCAACAACATGTGTTGTCTTTACAATAAACAATTGTTTTGTTGTTGCTGCTGATATTCCCATCATCATTGTTTTCTTTCTTTTTTTTTGTGGTTCGCAGATTTGTTTTTTTTTCGAACAAAAATATTTCACACTTGATTTCCAGCAATGTCAATGTCATTATTCGATTCTGTCGGATTTTATGCGCCATCCTCCTCAAAAAAAAAAAAAAAAAAAAAAACAACACCACCAGTCAGCCATAGCCAGACATTTTGGGGTGGGGGACAGACGCCTGAGATCCCCAATGATCTTGGAAATTGCCTTGCGCATGCATGACTCCAAGCAAGAATGTAATGCATCAAAATGTCATAAAAATCTAAATATTTATTTAAGGCTTAAAAAAATTCCATAAAATGGTTAAGTGGAAGCTTAAAAAAAACAACAACAACAACAAATAAAAAAATATTTTGAAAACAATTTTTGTAAGAAGAATATGTCTTTTGTATCACTTCACTATTGGGACCTTGTAAAAAAATTAAAGAAAGTTGTTGATGCCTTAAAAATATTTTTTAAAAAATCCACGCCTTGTGAGGATCGAGCCTTGTGGAGACTCGATAAAAAATAATTTTTAAAAAAATCCACGCCCTGTGAGGATAGATCCTTGTGGAGACTCGATAAAAAATAATTTTTAAAAAATCCACGCCTTGTGGAGACTCGATAAAAAATAATTTTTAAAAAAATCCACGCCCTGTGAGGATAGATCCTTGTGGAGACTCGATAAAAAATAATTTTTAAAAAATCCACGCCTTGTGGAGACTCGATAAAAAATAATTTTTAAAAAAATCCACGCCTTGTGGAGACTCGATAAAAAATAATTTTTAAAAAAATCCACGCCTTGTGGAGACTCGATAAAAAATAATTTTTAAAAAAATCCACGCCTTGTGGAGACTCGATAAAAAATAATTTTTAAAAAAATCCACGCCTTGTGGAGACTCGATAAAAAATAATTTTTAAAAAATCCACGTCTTGTGGAGATTTGATAAAAAATAATTTTTAAAAAATCCACGCCTTGTGAGAATCGCGCCTTGTAGAGACACGATAAAAAATAATTTTTAAAAAAATCCACGCCTTGTGGAGACTCGATAAAAAATAATTTTTAAAAAAATCCACGCCTTGTGGAGACTCGATAAAAAATAATTTTTAAAAAAATCCACGCCTTGTGGAGACTCAATAAAAAATAATTTTTAAAAAATCCACGTCTTGTGGAGATTTGATAAAAAATAATTTTTAAAAAATCCACGTCTTGTGGAGATTTGATAAAAAATAATTTTTAAAAAATCCACGCCAAGATCGAGCCTTGTGGAGACTCGATAAAAAATAATGTTTAAAAAAATCCACGCCTTGTGAGAATCGAGCCTTGTGGAGTCTCGATAAAATATAATTTTTAAAAAAATCCACGCCTTGTGGAGACTCGATAAAAAATAATTTTTAAAAAAATCCACGCCTTGTGGAGACTCGATAAAAAATAATTTTTAAAAAAATCCACGCCTTGTGGAGACTCGATAAAAAATAATTTTTAAAAAAATTCACGCCTTGCGGAGACTCGATAAAAAATAATTTTTAAAAAAATCCACGCATTGCGGAGACTCGATAAAAAATAATTTTTAAAAAAATCCACGCCTTGTGGAGACTCGATAAAAATAATTTTTAAAAAATCTACGCCTTGTGGAGACTCGATAAAAATAATTTTTAAAAAAATCCACGCCTTGTGGAGACTCGATAAAAAATAATTTTTAAAAAATCCAAGTCTTCTGAAGACTCGATAGAAAATAATTTTTAAAAATTCCACGCCTTGTGGAGACTCGATAAAAAATAATTTTTAAAAAATCCACGACTTGTGAAAATCGGGCCTTGTGGAGACTCAATAAAATATAATTTAAAAAAAATCCATGCCATGTGAGGATCAAGCCTTGTGGAGATTCGATAAAAACTAATTAAAAAAAATCCACGCCTTGTGAGGATCGAGGCTTGTGGAGAATCGATAAAAAATAATTTAAAAAAAATCCATACCTTGTGGAGAGGATGCCTTATTTTTTAAATCCACTCGCAATTGTATGATTTCCCAGAATTTCATAATTCTGCAGAACCTCTGCATTATTCTTAAAAAATATATATTTTGTTGTGTGGGAAATCCCAAATGATGTACCACGTCACAACTGTAGTTATTATATTTTTGGTGATTGTTGCTGCAGGTCAGGACTGAGACCTTTTGTCATTGGCCACAGACCTGCGGAACAGATACCCTCGCTTTTATGTGACAAATTATTTAATTCACTCAAATCACTTAAGAAGAGCACACACAAGCTGCAATGCCAGTAGTGATGATAAGCCGGGGAGGAAGGGTCTTGATATTATTACAGAGGAAGAGTGTGACTTATTCTAATATGAAAATGGAAATTCCACGTTACACTGACTTTAATCGGAACTAATTTTCCACAAAAAATCCGAAAAGAGAATTTAGCAACACCCTGCCAATGAATCAATTAATGGCTGCAGGGGTTGCTGGATTGCTGGACACAATTTTCTAAATAAATATTCCCGCATCTCATCATAGCATAGCAGTATTCAAATCGGAAACATTAAAACAAAGAGGTCTTCGATCTTCTTCGCAGCAAAATGGACAAAGTTATTTACTTCGCATTATTCATCCTGCTCTCTGGAGTGATTTCATTGGCAAATACCCAGGACTATGAAGGTCCAGAATACAATTCGGAGGGTGATAAGTCGCCACACTACAGTTGTGAAAAATCCACCACTACTGTAAATGGTATTCCCATGCCCTGTGCCGGTCACTTAATATTCCACGACGACTTCGGAGGCAACTCCTTGGATCCGCAAAAATGGACCGCAGAAAGACGCATACCTCGTGCTCCCGACTATGAATTCAATTATTATATCGATGATGTGGAGGAGATCCTGAAAGTCGAGAATGGCGTGGTTCGCATCAAACCAAAATCAACTGCCGCCCATTTGGGCCAATGTGAAATGGAAAGGGCTCCCTTAAATTTGGGTGAAAATTGTACCGCCGACATTGATTCCGATGAGTGTGTAATAAAACCAACAGTTTTGAAGTTAGTTCCACCCTATATCTCGGCACAGTTTACATCGAAATATAAATTCGCTTTTAAATACGGGCGGGTTGAGGTTCGTGCCAAAATGCCCCAAGCCATGTGGGTATATCCCCAACTGTGGTTGCAACCGAACTATCCGCGATATGGCAATACCAAACTTTATTATTCCGGTCAAATGCGTATTGGTCAGACACGGGATGATGGTCCAAAGAAAGATTTAATAACCGGCCTTGTGATCAATACTAAACCAGATTGGTATTATCTGCTGCTTTGTATTAATGGTACCACACAAAATCTCTCCGATGAGTTCCACACCTATGAAATGTTGTGGACCCCTGATGTGATTACATTCTCCTTGGATAATACGGAATATTGTCGCTTTGAGGTGAACAGCGAAGAGGAGAGTTTTCGAAATCGTAAAGTTGGTTGGTCCAAAATGCCAAATCGTAATTACCTGCAAAGGGGTACGAAATGGGCACCATTTGACGAGGAATTTTATTTGCTGTTCGGAGAGGGAGTTGGTGGTTATAGCAATTTTCCCGATGACGGTTGGTCGGTGGAGAAACCATGGCAAAGAACCCAAACACATTCAATGATGATATTCCGTGATAACATGAAATCGAATACAACATGGTTGGATCGTGCCGATTTGGAAATCGATTATGTCAAAGTTTATTCAGTTTAATATTTTATCACAAAAAAATATAATTTTTAAATGTAGAACTTTTATAAAAAAAGTTGGAAATATTTAATAAAGCATTAGAAAAAATAATTTTTATGAATTTTAATTTCCTAAAAAAATTTTTTTGAAAAGTCTACGCCTTAGATAGGTTCTTAAAAAATTATTTAAAAAGTCTACGCCTTAGATAGGTTCTTAAAATTTTTTTTTAAATCTACGCCTTAGTTAGGTTCTGAAAAAAAAATATGTAAACAATCTACTCCTATGGAGGATGTCTGAAAAATGTATATAAAAAAACTTCGGCTTTAGAAGGTGTCTGAAAATATTATTTAAAAAATCAATTTAAAAAAAGACCTCACGGAGGTCTTCGATTTTTTTTATGGAAAAACCTCACTGAGGTCTCTGAATTTTTTTCTATATAAAAAAAGACCTCACTGAGGTCTGTGAATTTTGTTCTATATAAAAAAAAGACCTCATTGAGGTCTCTGAATCTTTTTCTATAGAAAAAAAGACCTCACTGGGGTCTCTGAATTTTTTTCTATAGAAAAAAAGACCTCACTGAGGTCTGTGAATTTTGTTCTATATAAAAAAAGACCTCATTGAGGTCTGTGAATTTTGTTCTATATAAAAAAAGACCTCATTGAGGTCTCTGAATTTTTTTCTATAGAAAAAAAGACCTCACTGAGGTCTCTGAATTTTTTTCTATAGAAAAAAAGACCTCACTGAGGTCTCTGAATTTTTTTCTATAGAAAAAAAGACCTCACTGAGGTCTCTGAATTTTTTTCTATAGAAAAAAAGACCTCACTGAGGTCTCTGAATTTTTTTCTATAGAAAAAAAGACCTCACTGAGGTCTCTGAATTTTTTTCTATAGAAAAAAAGACCTCACTGAGGTCTCTGAATTTTTTTCTATAGAAAAAAAGACCTCACTGAGGTCTCTGAATTTTTTTCTATAGAAAAAAAGACCTCACTGAGGTCTCTGAATTTTTTTCTATAGAAAAAAAGACCTCACTGAGGTCTCTGAATTTTTTTCTATAGAAAAAAAGACCTCACTGAGGTCTCTGAATTTTTTTCTATAGAAAAAAATGTATCTCAGTGTTAACTGAGGTCTGTGGTTTTTTCTATAATTAGTATTATACACCCGACATGATGATGATCAGGGGACATCCCTGAGACCTGAGAGGATCATCGTCACTTGTGACAACATTTATTCAAAACGCAAAACAACAGTTTAAGTGCAACGGCAAACAAAGAACAACTTATCGGCGGCATAGCAATCAGCAAATTCATGAATGGATATACGGATCGATGCAGTGGCTGCCTGGATGACTGATAAAAAGACCGAATTTCTTTAATAAAAACACGCGCGCCTGTGGTTAGCTTTAGTATTCGACGTAGAACACTGGCAACAAGCGTATGGTCATCGGACTGTCGGAAATCGGCAGTATGATCACAATTATATATTCCGCATTAGTCATCCTGCTCTGCGATGTGTCATCATCGGCAATGGCTCTAGATTATAAAATACCACCAGCCACCATTGAAGTCTACTATCCCAAGGGATTTCAAGTTTCCATACCTCATGAGGAGGGCATTACTTTGTTTGCATTCCATGGTAAATTAAATGAGGAAATGAATAATCTGGAGGCAGGAACCTTTTCCAAAGATATTTTAAAGCCGAAAAATGGCAGATGGATTTTTAGTGATGATTCGGCCCATCTCGAATTGGGTGATACCCTATACTATTGGACTTATGTTGAATTCAAAGGCCTGGGTTATCGTGAAGATGATGGGGTCTATGTGGTTAAGGAATATGCCAATACTTCGATGACACCAACAACTTCGGTTACAACCGGCAATAGGCCCACCACAGTTCAAAGTTCAACGGAGGCGAGTGCCAGTTGCCCGAAATCAGCCACCTTTGTAAATGGTGCTCCCAGACGCTGTGCCGGTCAATTAATTTTCGTAGAAAAATTTGAGGGTCACCATTTGGATGCCAATAAATGGACAGTGGAACGGCGCATACCTCATGCCCCCAACTATGAATTCAATGTGTATCTCGATGATGTGGAAGATGTTCTGCAACTGCGTAATGGCATACTGCGTATCAAACCAAAATTAACGGATGAGCATTTTGGGCATGGAGCAACCCGAAAAACACCACTAAGTCTAGGCACAACTTGCACCGGTAAATTGGATTCCGATGAATGTTCAATTATACCACGAGGTGTAAAAATTCTACCACCCTATATATCGGCTCAGTTTACGACAAAAAATAAATTCAAATTTAAATATGGCCGAGTAGAGGTTCGAGCCAAAATGCCCCAGGCTATGTGGGTGTTTCCCCAACTCTGGCTGGAGCCCAATGAGCGCAAATATGGTGATGACTACTATAACTCGGGACAAATGCGTATTGCCCAGACACGGAATGATGGCGCCAAGACAGATTTACTTGCCGGTCTGGTGTTGAACTCCCACCCTGCCTGGCATTCCTTTAAGCTATGCCTGAATAACCAAAGTCAAGAGAAATTAGCCGATAAACAGTTCCACACCTATGAAATTTTGTGGACACCAGATGTCATCACATTTTCCCTAGACTCCAAGGAATATTGTCGCTATGAAGTGCGCAGCGACGAAGAAAGTTTTCAAAATCTTAAACTTGATGACAAGGTTCGAGCCTGGCATCATCTTCGCAGCGGTTATTTACCCAACCGCCATCTGCTGCAAAGCGGTACCAAATGGGCACCATTCGATCAGGAATTTTATCTTCTGGTGGGTGAGGGCATTGGCGGTTTTAGTGATTTCCATGAGGGTAAATGGTCGAAAGAGAAACCATGGCACAATACCGATCCAAAGGCAATGTTGAAATTCTATAACCACTATCGTTCGGATACCACTTGGTTGCAACATGCCGATTTTCAAATTGATTATATTAAAGTATATTCTGTATAAAAGAAATCTAATTTCAATAAAAATGTAACGAATAACAAAAAAAAAAAAAACATTTTACTTAATAGAGGATCTAAAAAAATAGAATGGTCTTTTTTGTATAGAACAATATTTGGAGACTTCCGTGAAGTCTTTTTCTATAGAAAAAACTTCGGAGTGAGGTCTTTATATAGAAAAAAATTCAGAAACCTCAGTGAGGTCTTTTTTTATAGAAACAAATTCATAGACGTCAGTGAGGTCTTTTTTTATAGAAAAAAAAAACATAGACGTCAGTGAGGACTTTTTTCTATAGAACAAAAAATCAGAGACCTCCGTGAGGTCTCTGAATTTTTTTCTGATTTTTTTTCTATAGAAAAAAAGACCTCAGTGAGGTCTCTAAATTTTTTCTATAGAAAAAAATACCTCAGTAAGGTCTCTGAATTTTTCTATATAAAAAAAGACCTCAGTGAGGTCTCCGAATTTTTTCAATAGAAAAAAAGACCTCAGCGAGGTCTCTGTATTTTTTTATCAATAGAAAAAATACCTCAGTAAGGTCTCTGGATTTTTTTTATAGAAAAAAAGACCTCAGCTCGGTCTCTGAATTTTTTTTTCTATAAAAAAACCTCATTGCTGTCTTTGATTTTTTTTTTATAGAAAGAAAGACCTCACTGTGGTCTCTGAATTTGTTTCTATAGAAAAAATGACCTCACTGAGGTCTCTGAATTTTTTTCTATAGAAAAAAAAAACCCCACTGATGTCTCCAAATTTTTTCTATATTTAAAAGAAGACCTCACTCCGAACTTTTTTCTATAGAAAAAAGACCTCACTGAAGTCTCCAAATATTGTTCTATACAAGAAGGGCCTTTCCATTTTTGTATAAACACAAATTTTTTCTAGATCCTCTATTAAGTAAAATGTTTTTTTTTATTCGTTACATTTTTATTGAAATTATATTTCTTTTATACAGAATATACTTTAATATAATCAATTTGAAAATCGACATGTTGCAACCAAGTGGTATCCGAACGATAGTGGTTATAGAATTTCAACATTGCCCTTGGATCGGTATTGCGCCATGGTTTCTCTTCCGACCATTTACCCTCATGGAAATCACTAAAACCGCCAATGCCCTCACCCACCAGAAGATAAAATTCCTGATCGAATGGTGCCCATTTGGTACCGCTTTGCAGCAAATGGCGATTGGGCAAATAACCGCTGCGAAGATTATGCCAAGCACGAACTTCGTCATCAAGTTTTAAGTTTTGAAAACTTTCCTCCTCGCTGCGTACTTCATAGCGGCAATATTCTTTGGAGTCTAGGGAAAATGTGATGACATCTGGTGTCCACAAAATTTCATAGGTGTGGAACTGTTCATCGGATAATTTCTCTTGACTTTGATTATTCAGGCATAGCTTAAAGGAATGCCAGGCAGGGTGGGAGTTCAACACCAGACCGGCAAGTAAATCTGTCCTGGCGCCATCATTGCGTGTCTGGGCAATACGCATTTGTCCCGAGTTATAGTAGTCATCACCATATTTGCATTCATTGGGCTCCAGCCATAGTTGGGGAAACACCCACATACCTTGGGGCATTTTGGCTCGAACCTCTACTCGGCCATATTTAAATGTGAATTTATTTTTCGTGGTGAACTGAACCGAAATGTAAGGTGGTACAATTTTGGCACCACGTGGTATTATTGAACATTCATCGGAATCCAGTTGACCAGTGCATGTGGTGCCCAGACTTAGTGGAGTTCTTCGGGTTGCCCCCTGTCCAAAATGCTCGTCCGTTAATTTTGGTTTGATACGAAGAATGCCATTACGCAGTTGCAGAACATCTTCAACATCGTCAAGATACACATTGAATTCATAGTTGGGGGCATGAGGTATGCGCCGTTCTACTGTCCATTTATTGACATCCAAATGCTGACCATCAAATTCTTCTTCGAAAATTAATTGGCCGGCACAACGTCTGGGAGCACCATTTACAAAGGTGGCTGATTTCGGGCAACTGGCACTCGCTTCCGTTGAACTTTGAACTGTGGTGGGCCTATTGCCGGTTGTAACCGAAGTTGTTGGTGTCATCGAAGTATTGGCATATTCTTTTACCACATAGACCCCATCATCTTCACGATAACCCAGACCTTTGTATATAACATAAGTCCAATAGTACAGAGTATCACCCAATTTGAGGTGGGTCACTCGATCACGAAAAATCCATCTGCCATTTTTCGGCTTCACAATATCTCTGGCCCAGGTTCCTGCCTCCAGGCCATCCATTTCCTCATTTAATTTACCATGGAATGCAAACAAAGTAATGCCCTCTTCGTGAGGTATGGAGACTTGAAATCCCTTGGGATAGTAGACTTCGATGGTGGCTGTTGGTACCTCATAATCCAGAGCCGATGCCGATGATGACACATCGCACAGGAGGATGACTAATGCGGAATATATAATTGTGATCATATTGCCGATTGCCGACAATCCGATGACCATACGCTTAATGCCAGTGTTCTACGTCGAATACTAAAGCCAATCACAGGCTCGCGTGTTTTTATTAAAGAAATGCGGTTTTTTATAAGTCATCCAGCCAGCCACTGCATCGATCCGTACATCCATTCATGAATTTGCTGATTGCTATGGCGCCGATAAGTTGTTTTTTGTTTGTCGTTGCACTTAAACTTGTTTTACGTTTTGAATTAATTTTGTGACGGTGATCCTCTCAGGTCTCGGCACATCTGCCGGTTGTGTAGTGTTAAAAATAGAACCTCAGTTGACACAGAGGTATTATTATTTTTTGTAGAAAAAATCTGACACATTCCTGAGGTCTTTTTTTTCTATAGAAAATAATTCGGAGACCTCAGTGAGGTCTTTTTTCTTTAGAGAAAAATTCAAATACCTCAGTGAGATATTATTTTCTATAGAAAAAAATCGGAGATGACATATATTTTTTAAACATTTTGTCAGACAGAACCTAACTAAGGCGTATATTTTATAAATATTTTTTTTTTAGAACCTAACTTAGGGGTAGATTTTTTGCATAATAATTTCTTTCAGACACCCTACTTTATTTCCGAAAATTAAATTCAATTTTTATAACATTACTACAATTTATTATTACAATTTTTTTCGTTGAACTTTCGGGGTTTTTGCGGAGATTATGTTCTGATCAAATTCAAAGCGACCTGGAATTTCCATTTTCATATTAGAACAAGTCGCACTTTTCCTCTGTAATAATATCAAGACCCTCCCTTCTTCGCTCAGCAACACTACTGGCATTGCACTTTCGCTTGTGTGTGTACCCCACATAAGTGCCTTTGAGTGAATTAAATAATTTGTCACATAAAAGAGCAGACATCCTTCACAGGTCTGTGGCCAATGACAAAAGGCCCCAGACCTGATCTGCAGCAATCAACAAAATATTACGATACTCGGGATTTCCCAGGGCAAATTATAATTATTTTTTTTAATGAAAATCGAGCGGTTCTACGAAATTTTAAAATTGTTGCAGAAGAGAAATTCCATGACACTACTGTAAATGGTATCTCCATGCCCTGTGCCGGCCAACTAATATTTAAAGAAGACTTCGAAGGCAACTCTTTGGATCAGCACGGAGGTCTCGGAATTTTTTTCTATAGAAAAAAAGACCTCACGGAGGTCTCGGAATTTTTTTCTATAGAAAAAAAGACCTCACGGGGTCTCGGAATTTTTTTCTATAGAAAAAAAGACCTCACAGAGGTCTCGGAATTTTTTTCTACAGAAAAAAAGACCTCACGGAGGTCTCGGAATTTTTTCTATAGAAAAAAAGACCTCACGGAGGTCTCGGAATTTTTTTCTATAGAAAAAAAGACCTCACGGAGGTCTCGGAATTTTTTTCTATAGAAAAAAAGACCTCACTGAGGTCTCGGAATTTTTTTCTATAGAAAAAAAGACCTCACTGAGGTCTCGGAATTTTTTTCTATAGAAAAAAAGACCTCACTGAGGTCTCGGAATTTTTTTCTATAGAAAAAAAGACCTCACTGAGGTCTCGGAATTTTTTTCTATAGAAAAAAAGACCTCACTGAGGTCTCGGAATTTTTTTCTATAGAAAAAAAGACCTCACTGAGGTCTCGGAATTTTTTTCTATAGAAAAAAAGACCTCACTGAGGTCTCGGAATTTTTTTCTATAGAAAAAAAGACCTCACTGAGGTCTCGGAATTTTTTTCTATAGAAAAAAAGACCTCACTGAGGTCTCGGAATTTTTTTCTATAGAAAAAAAGACCTCACTGAGGTCTCGGAATTTTTTTCTATAGAAAAAAAGACCTCACTGAGGTCTCGGAATTTTTTTTCTATAGAAAAAAAGACCTCACTGAGGTCTCGGAATTTTTTTCTATAGAAAAAATGTTGGAATTATTGAATCTCCACGATACGATCGTACAACACACAACACACATGATGAGTAATTGTGACATGATCGCAGAGTGCGATGCACACTAGTTGTAAATATTGTTGTTGTAGTATTAAGATTTCATGCGTAGTGTGTGAGAATGAAGTTGTCACTCGTAATAAAGTTCTCAACCAGTAAAGAAGTCTTTCGTTTTATTGAAGCTGCAAACACATCAAAACTTAATCCTACAATAGGTTATGGGCCCAGGACACTCGACGGTGAAATAATAAGTGCATCAGAATAAGGACAACTCTCAGGATAATTAATTGGAAAAAATAGTATTGGACAAGGTGAAAATAAGCTACGTGTACCCCGGACAACTCTACGGAATCCCGATTTGAAAATTAAGTGGAATTAACGAGTTGTGACCAAGATAGTGAAAAGGATCATCGCATTTGGAAAACGGAAAGACAGAGTTGAGAATTGAATCAATCTGTGTGATTGAAAGTGTCCGACATTGAAGTTCGTGAACATTTTGTCATTGTTAACTGTGTGTCGGTTAAACTCTTTCGTGTGTCGAAAGAAACACAAACAAAATGTCTTCAATGTACAGTATAGAAAAACTAGAAGAAGGAAATTACGAGTCATGGTGTTTGCAG